TTCACTCTCCCTATTGTGGAGGGAGTCCAGAGAGGCTGTCAGCTCACTTAGCCCGTCTTTTAGTCTTTTAAGTTGAGTGGTGTGAATAGTCTTCAAAATGCCTTTGGGTTTCCCTTTACCCAAAGATTGAGGGAATGCTCCTTTTCATTCTCAGCCACAGGAATTAAACAATAAGATCAAAATCTTGTAATCTCCTTGGGAATTCCTTTTAGCTGTATGGGATCTAAAATGCTGGTTTTCCCCTAAATTGCTGGGCAAATGAAGGCAGAGGCTAATCATACAGCTGGCTTTCGATGCAAATATTTCCAGTGTCTGGTGCGGTGACATTTGTTTGAGATCACCTATGAAACAAATATCTTAATCATTTTTAATACCTATGCCAAGTTTAAATGTCATTAAGCTGTTTCCTCATTGATCTTCTGGTCTATTTACAGGGAGAATAAGAGGACCGGGAACCAAAGTAAACTTTATTATTCCCATTTTTTTGGTCTTTCATAATACCAATTTATGGGAAGGACCATCCTATAAAATAGAATCACACTAGGGTCTCCAAACGAGTAATATTTAGTGTATTGCTTTCAGTAAAAACAACACGACTAAAGATTTTGAATTTACAGCAGTATTATTCCCTCTGCCTCAGTGCTCTGTGGAACACATTACAGACAACCACCATGTATTATGTGAAAACTGCCATCTTTATTCTTCACCAAACAAATCTTTTAAAGCACATATATCTGTACTGCAGGAATATGCAGGGGGGAAAAATCGTAGATCTTCATTTAAAAAATGAGATGCAAAATTTAAATTTGCAACTCCATCTCCCTTCTCAGAAAATGATCCCATATATTTCCTAACAGCAGCTAAAACACAAAAGGAAAATACTTGCCAACCTTTGGGCCTGCTTGTTCTCCAATGAAACAGTCTGCATATGCAGAGATGCAGACTTGGACTTTGGATTCGAGGGGAAAGAAGTTTGTGGGTGAAGTTCAGCCTACAATGCGGTTTGTTTTGCATGCAGGAGGTCTCTTACAATACCAGTATGACAAACCGAAATTGCTTACAACTTCCCCTGCCTTTGCAACTTTGATGATTTTTTTTTTTCCCCTTAGACATAGTTTTAGTGTGTATATCCCACATCTCCTTGTGGCCATCACTTGGAGAGAAGAATGTTGGGTCTTTACTGTACCACCTTCGCTGTGGGAACTGTCATTGCAACAAAAGGTCTGAAGGATTGGAAACGAAACGTGCAGTCATTCTGTCCAGTTATGAAAATTGCTATGAGTGCAAATTATCTCTAGCATTATAGAAAGCATTTTCTGTTGAATGCCAATAGCGTCTTCAATAGTGAAAGGCATATCAAGTTATTCGCATGGGAAAGCTGGTATAAGGGATTTGTTACATTCAGTATCACATTGGGGTTTTAACCTTAAACTAGGAAAGAAATCCATGGAAATATGTCTGAAACTTTAAGTGACCTACTCGCAACATGCTTTAGATTTGTTAAAAGATGTGCAAACCTTTTGATGAGTTTCATCTACTTTCCAGATGTCATCGTAGAAATGAATATAATATTACCATTTGCTATAAAAACTTCCTGCAGCTCTATTAACAAGTTTCCCATGATGTAATTAGAAAGAAGGTGCAGTGTTTTCTTTGGCATCCGTGGGTAAAATGCTGTGCATACTTATACTGCTATAAACCCAGGGCAACTCAGTTCACTTTAATGAAGTTATTTTGGACTTAGTTCATGTGGAATTTGGCTATACCTTTATCTATAGCTGGATATCTTTCCCAAGGGGCAAATACAACAAAGGTTGTGCATTTTCTTTAGATTTCATGTAGGAAGACACTGTTCTCGGTATCAAGGAGGTTACTACTATTCTGACCAAGGTAAATGCTGTAAAATATTTTAGGTCCAGATTCAGCTAGATTTTCAGATACGTCCATAACTTGCTTGAATAAGCTGGAGCATGGGCAAATGCTGAAGTCTGGGCCTTCAAGCGTCTCCTCTACATCTCATATTCCACTCTCTTCGCTAATCTGTTACGTGAGGTTCATGGTTGAGAACCATTTTTGATGCTACGTTTCTATCACAAAATATTTATTTCCTCCTCATTTGGGCCACCTGAAGTCTCTGGTAGTAGAAAGGTTGGTGCTAGTGCCAGTTTCTCTGTACCACTGGTGTAGGTGGATGACTTTGATACCAAACACAGGCACAGTCATTACTGTTTCTCACAAAACACAAAAACTGCTTTGGACTTGAAATCTGCCTATCATTTCTCATCCAGAGAAGCCTGTACACAAATGCCCTTTGCATAAGGCCTTGTTGCCCTCTTTCTTTTTTCTAAATAAATAACAAACAAAAAGAAAGGGAACTAGAAGGGGAAAAAATTAAGTTTTAATGGAAACACATTTCATCTTTTGTTTTTTGCTTGCCATAAAACATTAACATAGTAAACAAATTGATCTTTGCTCTTAAATTCTTTAATAACATACAGTATTTTGAGTTTTATCATGGCTAAGGTATGGTTAAACCACATTGTGTTGCTGGTCGCATTCAAACCTCTATTGTCACAGTTCTTTGACATCAAACTACATTTTTAAAATGAAAGTTGTGTGTAACCCACTTCTGTTCATAGACACCTTCGTTAAAAGGTTGCCATTTTTTTGGCATGTTTCAGTACGTTAGTGGTAATGGTGTTTTCTGACCAAAACTGCTTTTTCTTGGGACATAGTTCAAAGTCCATGCATTTTTGTGGTCAGCCCCTGCTTTGTGCCATACAGTACCTTTCTGAATGCTGCACCCCCACATGAGCAAAGCTTTAATAGGATGCTCTGAAACATTATATTCTAGACAACTAATCCAATTGTAGGACTGTTACAATGGTGTTACAGTAGCTGAAAGAGCTATTTGAAATACGGGTATGTAAAAAAAAAAGAGAAAGTGTCACTTTGGTCCACTTTTCAGAGTGGTTGGTGTTATAATATATAACCTTTTTTTTCTTTTTTAACGCAGTGTAGTTCACAATAATTTAAAATACTCTATAGACATTTAAACGATATACAATAATATAACTTAATTGGATTCCTCAATTGTACTTAACAAATACTATTCTAATATATTTACAGTATCTAGTACCATAAGACTGTGCATTACTGTGCTTGGGAGCTTTATTTGCTTCCTGTCAAGAATGTAGTGAAAGTACAGTATATCACTATTATTCAACAATACCCATGAATCAAAGGGACTTTAAATTATATGGAGTGACTCTAGCATTTTTGGGGGCCCCTGTTAACTTCTGTGGAGTTGCACTTGTTCACACCAAGGCTGGTATTTAGAAACCAACAGCAACAATGAAAAAAACGAGCTCTTTAATTTTGGATTGCTCCATGAGAGACTCATCAAAGGGGTCTGATTTTCAGAGTGTAAGTGCTTGGGGTCAGAAAGGCAGGTCCTCACGAGTGTTCGAAGGAAGGTCCCCAGGTGATGAGTTACTTTTGATGATACATGTCCATAAATTACGGAGGTAATCCTGGCTCATTCACATATCCAGCAAGGTAGCTGGCAGAGCGATAGCTCCGCCAGCCCCTTGCCCAAAGAGCACCATGTGGTGTGGCAAGTGCTCCCATGTCAGGAGGGGAGGGCTCATGGCTGTACAGCCCCTCAATTAAAGTAGTAAAATGAAACAAAAGCTAGAAATGCAGATATGCAGACATTAGGAAATTTTTAACCCAAGTTTTCAGAAAATCAGGTAGGGACCCTTGCTGCAAGCAAACATTTTCGTGATGTGTTGTAAGTGGGCATACCTGGTTCTTGGGGTTAAAAACACTAGATTTTACAGTAGTAAAATGTCTGAGGATTTTTTTAAAAATCTCTCATAGGGAAAAGGTGTGTGAATTATAATTGAGTGCTGGTGTAAAAAGTCAGCTGCTTTCTTAACATTCATCTATTTATCAGGGGATATGTTATTGCCAACTGTAGAATAATGACAACACAGGCTAACCCAAATTTTAGCTTTCTTATGCTCATGAAGCCACCACAGCTCACAGGTTGCAGCAACATAGAGCTCAGCTACCATATTTTTGTTAACTTCTCAGTTGACACTGAGCACAAGTTATTTAAAAATATTTGTAATATTAACTTTCAACTGTTAAAGGCAAAATGCAATGCTTGGAAGATCCTGCCAGTGCATTTGAAGGCAAAGCAAAACCTTTGATATTTGTCGAAGCATGTCTTTGTATCCTAAAACTCCCTACAAGGAGCTGAGGGCAGGTGCTCCACGCCTCAAGCCTGAGTCTAAAAAGAGTCATTCTTATTCAGGAGGCAAGCGGGGAAAGTCTTTATCAAGCATTTGTAACCACAGTTTCACGTGATCTTTTTGCTCAGTTCTGGTAATTGCTTAAGGCCTACAGTAATTGAACTCTCTAATAGTGGAGTGACAACAGATCAGTAGCATTGAAGAACTTAGGGAGAACCAAATACAAAAATCATAAAGTCAGAGTTCCAATAAGTTTACATTTAGTACAGAATTAAGACATAGCTACCCGTTAGTGCTTAGAATTTTTTGATACTATTAAAAACATAAATAATTATTTTTAATGTTCATTCAAAGAGTTCCAGTGTCACTGGCAGCTGATGTAATTTTGTGAACGTTATTTTTTTCCAAACTGATAGTGGAGTATTTCCGCCATAGATTTTGTCTCCCTACCAGTTGTTTTCTCTCTACCTGCTTTCTTAGAAATTTAGGTTTTTGCAGCAAGACTGCTGTGTTCTAGTCAGTGAAGATTTCATTTCCTTTAAAAGAAGTCTTTATTTGCACAAGGCTTGGTGCTTTTGTTGTTGTAAAATAGGAGAAAGTGTCTTTTTCTTTTAAATTTCATGGGAGCTGCAATGCAATCACCTTCTCTGATATGTATAACTTAAAACACTTACTAGGAGAACTCTACAACACCCAGATTGTAGTTAAAAAAAAACCAAAAGAGAGAGAAAGTATCATGTGGTTGTCAACATCACCTTAATCCTGTTGCCCATGTTTCCAAAGCAGTTACAACAGCCAGCCAGCCAAAATGCACCATCCTTAGAAGTGTAAGTAGTGGGGAGGGATTGGTTGTTGTGGTGGTGTTTGTGGTTTTCTTTTTCTTTCCCAAAGAAGATTAGATGTGCAAAATGATGCTGTCATCGTTTGTTGTACTCCACTTTCTTCACTTGTGGTGATTTGTTCTGTTCATTTGCACGTGATGCCGTTATTTGCAGGTGAACACTTCTGTCCGCTCGCTACACGTGTTGCACTTCACAAAGCAGCACCAGTGGAATTTGCAATTACATTGCCACACCTTGGTGTACTGGTGCGTGTTGTACCCTCTTCCACAGCACATCATGTCACACCCATCCGCATTGGGAGAGGTACGGTTGCAGAGTCGTCCCTGGGTACCGACGCTCCCCGTGGAAGCATCTTCCTCACAGTAGTTGGGTGACTTTTCGATATACACTAAATCCGTTTCCATGGGTTTCTGGTAACTCTTAATCTGCTTGATCTTCAGGAAGGTTGGCTGTCTTAGTCTACTGGCTCGTACCACCTCCACCTGCACTGCAGCATTGTATTTCTCTTTCAAAATATATCCAATCTCTCTGAATTTAGGAAGCGTGGTCCAGCAGGTCTTAGTTGTACAAGAACCTGAAACTCCGTGGCACTTGCACTCCAATTTCATTCTCTCTTCAAGAACCTATGTGTATAGACATTTGCATATTGTTACTGCAGGAAAATGGTATTGCAAGCTTTCTTAAATCTCAGTGTGTTTAGTTCATATGAATATTCATTACTGCTGGTTGAAATTTTTCAAATGCATGCTCATAAATCTTCTCACCTCCCAGCAGAATGCTTGTAACACATTTTGGTTTACATGGTGCTTAGTCAGAAACACAGCATTTTGTCATTTTATTAGAAAACATTTGCATTCTGTTCCCAACCATTGGAGAATATTTACTGACATTTCAGAATACACGTCTTTAGAGCCAGAGTAATTCATGGGACTCCAGTGACTTAAAAAAAATTTTCCAAACCATTTTCATTTTGAAAACAGAAAAGTAAAAAGTGTTTCAAGATTCAGAATATTTAATCTTAATTGCTTTAAATAACGTTCAAAGAACGTTTAAAAAATGTTGACCAGCTTTAGTATCACAGAACAATATATACTGTGAGGCTGAACAGGCATTCCTGTTCACTGCATAATTAATAATTTTGCCTATACCAGCAGTGGTAATACCAGCATACCTATTCCAAAGAGCACACCATCCCCTTTAAGAGCAGCACTCCTTGCAGTATCTAGCCCAAATATCACACAAATGTTCAGACACAAATACATTTTCTGCACCAGGGCAATGATTGCGCAACGTTAGAGGAAATAAAATAACACTGAAGGGTCCTGCTAAGCTATGAGCCAAAGAGAAGCGGGAGTATTTATTATTGCTATAGCTAGAGGAGGTTAACCTGGAGGAGGTTAACCCAGCATCAGATGGTCTCTACAAGGCACCCAAACTGGCGGGTGCTTGGGCTCATGCTCTTCTCCCAACCTCCCGCCTCCGCTGCAGCCAAGCCGCGCCATGGCTGGCACATCCCTCCTTTTCTGGGCAGGGGCGTATGCCCGGGGGAAGACAAGCAGATGCCCGCCTGCTCCGCATGCACGGTGGAGGGGAAGCTGGCCTCACGGAAGTGTCTCTCTGTTTTTCTGCCCTCGCGCTACCACTTAAGCCTGACCACAATTACACCCACAGTCATCATTAGCTTATGAAAATCAAGACCTAAGAAGAAAGCAAACTGATCTTTCCCCTTCGCAATGGGATGCTAACAAAGAAATATGAGCTACTGAGCTTGTCTTAAAGCATTACTGATGCTGCAGACCATCTCCTGTAGTGGTTTCATTGCAGATCCCAGAACATGACTGAAATGGGCAAAGGATAAAAGGGCCGAAATCTGAGTACAATGGCATAATGAAGTAGAAGGGAAGTAAAAAATGCTTACTGCTTAAGAAACTGGCCTTAAAATAAAAGCTGTACAGATCTGGTTATCCCTGCAAATAGAGGGCACCCTCCTGAGTTGTTCGAGTTTCACTTAAATTGTATGTTTTGTTTTTTCCCAAATTTCTGGGGTTTCAATATTAAAGAGAATATTTGGTTTTGATTCTCCTTGCCAACATACAGTAGCAAGTACAAGATAGCTGAGCATCCTATTCAAAAATACCTTAGACCTTCTGGAACCACAGGCTTTTCCCAGGTCAAGGTCAAGTTAGCCTTTCAGAAGCAGAAAAGGTGATTTCCAAGAAGGTTTTTCTGGATTAGGGAAGAAGCTACTATAGCTGCAACTACTCTAAAAAGAAAATCAGCAAGGCTATGATGAGCCAATTTTTGTGGACAGTGGAAAGGCCACTGCTCTCCAACAAACTGTATCACCTTCCTGTCTTCCCTACAGAAAAAAAAGAAGCTGGAAAACTTGATGCCTTCTGCTGTGGCAGCTGCAATTCAGTAGCAGTGAGTAGAGGGATGCCTTATGAAATACTCCAGAGTCTTTCAGGATTCATCTGTCTTGACTTCATGCCTGTGCAGAAGTCTAGTCTAGTCTAGTCTAGTCTAGTCTAGTCTGCCCTTGATTGGTTTAGGTGGGCTTGGTAGTGTAGGTTAATGGTTGGACTGGATGATCTTAAAGGTCTTTTCCAACCTAGACGATTCTATGATTCTATGATTCTAAGAATGTGATTTTTCAAAGACCCCAAACAAGATTCCAATCCTGTTCCAGAAATCTGGGTTAAAATAACTTATCGGTATTCAGATGTGCATATATATATATATACACATATAAACATATCTGTATATATACACACATACATATATACACACACACATGATAAATTGCTTATAAGTTTTGCTTGGTATTGCTGAAATACAGTTTTTTTCAACTAGCCTCTTTCTACAGCTCTGTATTTCAGTCACTGATCAACACACAATTGAAGCCACAAGCACTGCAGCAAAATCCATGACAAAAGGTGGATGGAGACAACCTTCTCTACACCTTCACCACAAAGCGCTATGGGATCTAAGGACTTCCAGGAAAGCATTACCAATGGGATGGACCTACTCCTCTTCTCCCTAAGTAGTAAATCTTGGTGAAGAGCAGGCTTGTGGTTTAGTACGCATTTTTTCAGGTTCTGCACATGTCTGTGATGTCTGATTTTTGGTTGAAAAGGTCAAGTCAGTAATTTGTTCCAAGTGGGAGGAGGTGAAGCTTGTGAGGCTCCTTATTCTTATGTGGGCTCAACACTCTGGACACTGTTCCAAGGAGCCTTCATCTCTGTCATTGATGTGCTTCCCTGCTACAACAGAAAGGGACATTGTTCCTGAAAGACAAAGATATCACCCATTCTGGTGACCTAGGTGATACCTTCGTATATGTATATTTATCTATGGATGCGTGTGTGTGTATATATGTTTGCCTGTGTGCATGCATTTGGTTGAGATGCTGCCATTTATATACAGCACTGCCTGGCACCCTCTGTAGTACAATCTCCAGCAACTTTATCTTAAGTCTTGATTTCTTTTTTGTTGTTGTTGTCTTTCTGAAGATCCAGTTTTGTGAGTCATTTTGCTGTACAAAAATCTGATTTCACTGCTGTATTTTTTCAAAGGTTCCCACTGCTTATGATGGCAGAAGAACTTGCAAATGCAAGCCACGCAGGCTCAAAAAAGCAGAACTTTCAGAAAGTATTAATTCATGATCCTGAAGCCAATCTCGCAGGTTTTTTTTTTTTTTTTTTTTTTTTGGAGGCTTCTCTCATGAATGTGGAATGCTTGGGGTTACAACACTGAGCACAGGCCCAATCATCAGGTAGTTAAATTCCTGAATGCTATAATTTGTGTGCCCACAGTCAGCTGTGGGTACAGAATTGTGCCCAAAAACTTGGAGGTCAGGGAATACAAGGCCCAAACTAAGCAGATTCTAAGCAAGATTTTTTTTCCCTTTTTTCCACCCAGATGCTGCAGAGCGTTCCTCTTTGCTGGCAAGCCAGCAGGCTCCGGCTTTCCCAGAGGTATGTCTATAAAGCCCCATGAGGTGCCGTGCGGAGGTCCCCACGTATGCCCTGGTGCTGCTGCTTTGCAGCTTACCGGGTAGACAGCAATCTGCACCTTGCTGAGTGGTATCTCAAGCAGCTTTCCACTTGCCAGCAAGGTGCCACTGGACCTGGCAAAGGTGGCAGGATTTGACCCTGTTCACTCAATGCTGTGTATGAAGAGCAACTAATGTTTTTCTTCCTGAATGTCCCTCCAGCTCAGTATTCCTCAGCAAAATTCCCATCAAAGTTTTGACCCTGAGCCTTAAAGGTACTTATTTACTCAAATCTAACACATTATGCCAAGCTAGGTGCCTGATTAAAGATTGAAAATCATTAGCTCGTACGACCCACTCTCAGCAGTTTCATTTGTCATATGTCAGTGCCTCGTATCTAATCTTGAATGGTTTACAGCAAGATCTACCTCCCAAAGCAAATTCCCATCATTGGACTGTGCTGCCTCAGACTAATCATAGGAACATTCCTTAGGTCCCTTTTCCGCATACAGGCCCACTCCCACCCCAGTATCATCTTGCCAAGTAAAATTTTCTAACTACTGCTACTTTGTTAAATGAATTGTGAAATAATAATGTTAAAGCTTTCTTATCCCACATATTTTTATACCTATATAAATCATACACTGAAAATGCAATTTGAGGGTTGTCCGCTGCCAGTTAAGTAGAAAAAGACTTGCGAAGACTGAAATAAAACAAAATGATATGCATGAAAAGAAATTCATTTTTTCAAGTTCCATATCTAGACCCAACTGCATAACATCAGATACAGTTTCTGTACATATTAAAAATCCTATCTGGATAAAATATGTAAAAACAATAGTAACATTTTGTGTGTGTTTGTTTTGGCTTGCCTTTTCTGGTTTGTGTTTTCCTTAGTGGAAATGCACATTTTTGGACCAGATGTCGAGTGTAACAAAATCCATATTACTTTTTGACTGCAGTATCAAAAAGAAATAGAAGACTTCAGGAGTTTTCCCCCATCAAATATGCAAGTGATCAACTTTTGTTTTGGGTAATACCAGTACCAAAAGAGATGGACCCTGGTCATAAGATGTCACCACCCCTTTGATACTCAAGCAGCTGCAGCCACACAAGCCGATGGCATGTGGGGACTGCCTAACCTTAGTCTCGGTGCAGCCTGGGGTCCACCACTGCTGACAAAATGCTGTTCTCATGGACTCATCTGGGAAACAAAGTTGGGTTTGTTTGGGTTTGTCTTTTTAAGTCAGGTAGCCAGGGGTGTAACTAACATTAGTAGGGTGTAATGCTACTCCTCTAATTCAAATGTGCTGAAAATATTCTTCATTAATAGCAGATCATAGAGCCCAAAATTGATCAGTTCATGTCATATCTCCTTGGGTTGTGCCCAACCTTCTGAAGAGAAGACATAGAACCAGCAGGAGAGGAATATGGGTGCTTCAGCTGCATATTTTTCTTTCTGCTCCTCTGTGAGGCTGCTCCATCGAGCATCAAAGCAGTATTTATACTCTGTGGGATGGGAGATGAGGAACTAAATTACTGCGCTTACTCCCTCTCTTGTCGCATCCCTATTTTTCTTATCGTTTAGTCTGATGGCAGCAGGGAGCTTCTGCTTTGCAGTGGGTCAGT